TGGGGTGGGGTGGGGTGGGGGGGTAAGGTGGGGTGGGGGATGGGGTTTTCTCTTCCAACTTTCTGATCACCTCCTCCTCACCCCACAGTTGTAGCTATGTAAAGAATCTCTGTAGACGACTGGAGTGTGTGTGTGTGTGTGTGTGTGTGTGTGTGTGTGTGTGTGTGTGTGTGTGTGTAAACAGGCCTCGGAACTCCAGGATGGAGGGGCAGGGGTTAGGGCTGATTAGGGGCCCAGAGCTAATCAGAGCTGGTGCTGGTACTGAGGGTGGGTTTGGGGTCCCAGACTAGCTTAAAATGGAGCCCAGAGCAGGGTGTGAGTACACTCTGGGGCTGAGGTTGGGGCTGGGTCAAGGCCAGGGGCAAAGGGAGGTTTGGGACCACCACCCAGGGGTTTAGGGCTAAGGGCTGTGGAGAGAGCAGGTTTAGGGCTAAGGGCTGTGGAGAGAGCAGCAGCCACCCACCCCCACGTACCCCACAAGGTCAGGTGGCTCTGGGAGCGGGTGATGGGGGGCTGGGGTCGGCTGAGAGCCAGCAGTAGAGCTGTCTTGGGGGACTCAGAGAGTGCAGAGTTGAGGCTACGGGCGGTTGGGGGTCCATCGGAGCGGATGGCTGTGTCTCTGAGAATGACTGTGGGCCGCACACTGCACCAAGTCTCCACACGGCCCCCCACTTCAGGCTCTGTCTGCATGGCTGTATCCGCCCGACCCCAGCCTGGGCCACGACTGCCCAGCTCCTCAGGGCCCAGGCAGACGTCCATGCTGTCTGAGGGCAGGGAGCCCGAGCTGTAGGGGGCACTGGAGGCATATGAGGAGACACTGGAGCTGCTCTCAGAGGCCAGGGACAGCTGCTGCAACACCCCAGTGTTCACTGCAGGGAGTGGAGAAGGCAGGGGCATCTCAGGGCTCTGGTTGGTTTGCTTCAAGGCCCTGCCAGGCTTGCAGACCACCCCTGGGCTTGGGGGTGAGGGAATGAATGTCAGGCAGCAGCCAAGGTTAGAACCACAGAGGCTGGAGAACCAGCGGCTCCATAATCCTGCCACTGACTTGTTGAGAGACCTCAGACAGGTTGCTTCTCCTCGGTTCACCCACTGGGACTCCAGACCCTAGGAGAGCCTGGAGGTGAATCTGCAGCTTCTCAAAGGGGAGCCCAGAAATAGCTCTGGGCTGGATGAAGGTCCTGAGGGGAACTTGGTCCCCTGCCCTTTTCTTCTTCAGAGATCCTGGCCCCACCCTCAGGCCTCAGCCCTTCCCTCCAACCTTGGGGACCTGAGCTACTTACGGCGGTCCAGCCAACAGTACTCAGAAACCATCTCCTTGTAGGCAGGGTACCGGCCGGTCTCCTGGGGAAGGCACGGGTGAGCGAACGAGAAGGCAGGGTAAGAATCGGGCGGCGCGGGGACGGGAGGCAACTTTTTAGCCCCTTTCTCTCCTCCAAGTTCAGCTTGCACTAGCCACACGGGCCACTTTAGTTCTGAACATGCCAGTTCCTTTGTGCCTCCGGGCCTTTGCTGCTGCCACGTTCTCTTCCTTCGGCTCACCACGTGGCCAGCTCCTTCTTGCTCCTCAACTGCTACATCCTCAGAGAGGCCTGCCCTGGCCCCCTGGCTCCGGAGGCCTTCCTAAACTATGCCATCCCACCTCTCTGTTTCTTTCCTCATAGCGTTTGTCACAATCTGCAAGTATCTAATTTACTTGTCTGTCTCCCCCCAGTGGCAGAGAACGTGTCTGTCCTGTTCACTGTTGTAGCCTCAGTACTCGGATAGTGGCCGGCATGTCGTAGGTGCTCAAAAGTATTGTTGAGTGAATGAATGAATGAGGGACAGAGTGGGAGTTACAGGGGTGTTTGAGATACTTTGAGAAAAAGGAAAGAGAGAAATGGGATGTGGGAGATAGGGGTGGTGATGGTGGGATGGCGGAGGTGGCGCTGAACAGCGAGATGGGTGAAGGCTCAGGGAAGGAGAAGGGTGGAGCAGGGCCAGGGTTGTGTTCTAGTGGGGAGGAGGGCATCACCTCCTCCAGGAGCCAGCGTGGAAGGACCTGATCCTCAGGCAAGTGTGAGACCCACATAAATAATGAATCCAGCCGCCTCCCCTGCCACCCAATCTCTGGCCCCAGCTCAGCCCTCCTTGCCCTGTGCCCTGAGGATGCCCAAGACTCAGGTCCTGCCCAAAGCCACAGCTACCACCCATCCTTCTGTGCAGGACATTTGCTCCTTTCAACCCGAGGCCTCCAGCATTCTTTTTTTTTTAAAGATGACCGGTAAGGGGATCTTAACCCTTGGCTTGGTGTTGTCAGCACCACGCTCCCCCAAGTGAGCGAACCAGCCATCCCTATATAGGGATCCAAACCCGTGGCCTTGGTGTTATCAGCACCACACTCTCCTGAGCGAGCCACGGGCCAGTCCCTAGGCCTCCAGCATCCTTAAGAAGGTGCCCTAGCAGTCTGGGCAACAGGACTGGAACCAGGCCTGGCTACTGACCAGTTGAGTAACTGACTGGTTTACGAGTTACTTTGCCTCTCTGAACCTCAGTTTCTTCTGTAAAATAGGGAGGCAAACAATGCCTGCCCTACCTTTCATGTGGCTATGGAAAGGTCATAAATTGCAGAGCAGTGGGCATTACTAAGCACTCGGGTGGTCTGGGAAGCCCTTCCTCTAACTTGCCCTCTCCCCGATTCCCATTGTCCTACCCACCTTAATGGTCAACATGATGTGTGTCTGGCCCTTCAGCACCTCCACCGCCTGGCTGTGGCTGATGTCATCGAACCTGACACCGTTGGCTGCCAGGACCTGGTCCCCCACCTTGATGCCGTTCTCCTCGGCCAGCCCACCATGGTCCACCCTGGGGTCAGACAGGCATGAGTCTGATAGGGCCCTGGCCTGCCCTCCCTTGCCCCATTCCAGACCCCCTTCACTTGGATACAGGATGCCCCAGTCAAGCTCCCTGGCCTTCCTCCTGGTGACTCCAGCCCCTCCCCAAGCCCTACCCTTAACCCAGGCCCTCAGTGGACATGTCGTGGGCCAAACCCCACTTGCTGACCTATCCCCCAGTCCCAGCCCCGTCCCCGTCTGCTCCAAGCCTCATTGCCAGCCCTGCCCCCAGCCCTGCCCCATTTCATTCCCTGCCCCTGCCCTCACTTGGACACATAGATGCCCAGGCCAAACTCCTTGCCCCCGCGGATGTTGAAGCCCAGGCAGAAGTCATCGGAGGTGGTGTACAGGTGGACAATGCGCCGCACACCATCCTCTGAGCTGCTGTCGGACGGCGTGGAACCACACTTCTCCACGACCAGTCGCTGATTGACCACATCCACCCTGAGTCGACGGCAAAGGGCCCTCACCTGGGTCCCCATCCTTCACCACCCGCCTCCTCCCAGCAGCCCTGACCACTGCAGGGGTTGCCTTTGGAGGGCTCCCCAGGCCTGGCTCTTCAGTGGGATACAGGATTCATCCAATCCGGGAAACCATCCTAATCTTCTCTTTATAGAGCCGCTGCAATGTGCCAGGCCCCATTTCTACTCCTTACAAGGCCCCTGTGGGGGAGGTGCTCTTATTGTCCCCAGTTTTCACAGCAGCAGGAATGTGGGGGGCAGGGCCACTGGGTCCTGGGATAGCAGAGCTGGGGGGTGTGGAGGGCTGGGGGAGAGACATGGCCTTTCCTCATTTCAAGGTCAAGCCCTCAGATCCCTATGTTTCCAAGGCCCAGGGGGAAGAAGGAGTGGAAGCTTCTCCTGCCAATGGGTTTTGAGTGGTGGTGGGGGCCAGGTGCCGCTCACCACGTGGTCTTCTCCTTGGAGAACTTGATGCCCGGCACGCGGCCCATGCGCCGCACCATCATGTGCAGGCGGCTGCTGCCCGTCAGCACCTTCACGGCACTGCCCATCGTGGTGCTCTCCAGGCTCAGCCCGTTCACCTCCGTGATCTTGTCCCCCACGCACAGGCCAGCTCGCTCTGCACCAGGGGAGGAGGCGGCTGGTGTGGGGCACTTGGGAGAAGGGGCCCCGGGGGTGAGGCTGAGCCTCCCCTGTCAGATGGGGTTCCTGGGGGTAAAACTGAGTTTCCTCAATCAGAATGAAGATCCTCAGAGTAGGGTCTACGTGTCCCCTATTAGACTAAGGCTCTATGCCTTCATCCACTCTGCTCTGAGGGTGGACCCCATCTCCCCATCAGATCAGGTCCTCAGAGTTGAGGACTCTTTCCCCCATCCGTGTCAACAGCATCCCCTGCCCTTCTCGAGGTGGGGGTCACATCTGACCCAGTACCTTGCCCTGGACCCCACTCACCTGCGCTGCTGCCTTCCTCCACTTTGCTGACGAAGATGCCCAGGCCGTGTTCAGAGCCACCACGCACACTGAAGCCCAGCCTCCCCGCTGGACTCTTTTCCACCTGGACTGCATGGATGATGTCACTTTCGTCACTGTTGGCTGTAGGAAGGGGGACATAGGCATGACCCCCATGTTCATTCTGGTCACAGAGGAGCCCTGGGTTTCCCAATTTGGGGACAGCAAAGACTGGGTTGTGGGGCACAGCCACACAGGAAGCTAGGGCCTGGGGTAGGCCAAATTCCTAAACATAAACATCCTGACACTCTGAGGGTCAAGCAGACAGAAAAGAAAGTTCAAGATTCTGTTCTATGGGGCACAGTTAAGGGAGTGTGGGCTCTTCAGCTTGCAGCAGAAATTTTCAAATAGTTGTAGAGCTATCCTGTGGAAGGCATTAGATGTTTTTGTCTGTGTAACCCAGAGGGCAGAACCAAGCCCACATAGTGGAGTCAGACAGAGGCAGGTTTTGTAAGGAAAAACTGTTTTAAAACATTCAGCTGTCAGACAATGGAATGGGTTTTCTGGGACAGGTAGTGAGCTTACCATCTTTGGAGACATGCAAGCTGAGCCCTGGTAAATCCCTGCAATGTTATGGAAGGATCCCTGAGGCCCCTTCCCTCTCTTAGGCTCTGTGATTCTGCAGGTAAGGGCTCCAGGAACTACCTAGCTACATGGAAAGAGAACCCAAAACACCAGCATTCTGCAGTGTGTGCTCAGAGCCCAGAGTGGCTCTCTCCAACAGAGCTGAGGAAATCATAGGCAAGAGGTCCCTCAGGGCTGGAGCTGTCAGGGAAGATTTCTTAGAGGACTAAGATGGGTGGGATTGGGGTGGGTGGAGGGTAGGGGGAGGGCATTGATACTGGGATGGAGTGAGCAAGGCTCAGGTGGGCCTTTGAGGTGGCCTTCTGGTTAGAGAAAAGTGAGAAGACTGTAGGGGTAGATTGGGTCCTCAGTGAGAAATTGAGATTTCTTCTTAGGCAAGGCTTTACTCTAGAGGTGTTTGAGAGGGAGAAATCACACACACACACGCAGACACACAGACACACACTTCAACTTGACCTCAGAGAAATCAGGTTACAGCTCATGGACAAGGAAGTTCAGAAAGAAATCCCCAAGGGCAGCCTATGGGCAAGGATGGGGCAGAACGGTGACTTGGAAGATCCTGGGGATTCCTGGCCAATTATATTCACACAGATCTCAGGACCTTTTCATTCTCAGCCAAGGAGACTTTTGTTCCCTTGCCCCCCAACCTTCTTTCTCCTTGGTCCCTCTCTGGGGCCTCCCTAGGGCCCTGGGCCATGCGGCTGTCAAATCCAAGGCTTTGAGCCTGGAAGCTTGGATCTTCTGAGGATGGAACCCTCTCTACCTTCGCTGCCTTAGCCCGGGCCATAGGCCTCTCCCTCCAGGCACTCCACAGTGGCCTCCCAACTATCTCCCTGCTTCCATTCTTGCCTCCCTTTACCCACTCTCTACATAGTAGCCAGGGTCAACTTGTACATTAGATCACGCCTTCCCCTTATAACGAACATCAGCACCTGCCCCTGCTTCCAGAGGAACTCCAGGCTCCTCCCATGCCCTGCAAGGTCCTCTGTGGGCTCCTCTGCCCACCTCTCTGTCCTCACCCCGGCCACTCTCCCCTCCCTCACTGAGCCTTAGCCACACCCCTCCTTCCTGTTCCGTATACAGGCCAGGTCCTTTCAGTGTCCCCCCTTGCCCACAATGCTCTTGCCCAGACCTTGACAAGGCCAGCGCCTTTCCTCGCTCCCCTCCTGGCTCAGACACCATGTACTCAGAGAAGCCTTCCTGGACTACCCTCCCCTCCTCCAGTCAGTCCCTATGGTAGTGGTGCTCAGAGCGTGGTGCCCAGACCGGCAGCAGCATCACCCGAGGACTTGTTAAAAATGTGAATTCCTTGGTTAGAGCAGTGTCAAGGCTTCAGGTTCCCATACAGGCCAGCCACACACAAAAAAAAAAAAAAAAAGAAAGAAAGAAAGAAAGAAAGAAAAGTTAATAATTCCTGGGCTCTACCAGAGACTCACTGAATCAGAAGTGCTGGGGTTAGGCCAGCCTGTGGCTCACTCGGGAGAGTGTGGTGCTGATAACACCAAGGCCACGGGTTCAGATCCTATATAGGGATGGCCGGTTAGCTCACTTGGGAGAATGTGGTGCTGACAACACCATGTCAAGGGGTAAGATCCCCTTACCAGTCATCTTAAAAAAAAGAAAAAGAAAAAGAAAAAAAAAAAGCGCTGGGGGTGAGCCCAGCAATCTATCTTTTAAGCTCTCTAGGCAGTTCTGAGGCATCCAAATTTTTTTTTTCCTTTTTGTCTTTTTTACTGACCAGTAACGGGATCGCAACCCTCGGTGTTGCGCCCACACCGCACTCAGCCAGTGAGCGGGAACCGGTCTCCACATGGGATCCGAACCCTCGGCGGGAGCGCTGCCGCACTCCCAAGCGGCACACTCTCCAGTGCGCCACCGGGCCGGCCCAGGCATCCAAATTTTGCAAACTACTATTCTATCATTATCATCCCAATTATTTCCTTCGGATTCTTCCCATCCTTTGTCACTATTTGCTTATTTGTGTGTATCTATCTCCTTTCACTAGACTGTACGCCCTTTCATGGTAGGGAATTTGTAATTCTTTTCCATCAGTATTTCCCCAATATGTTGCACAGTGCTTGACATTTTGATAATTTTTGAATAAATGAGAGAATAAATGGATGGATGAATGAATGAAGTAGGACAGTGAGGAGAAAGGGCTAGTTTGGAGTAAAGATAATGCAGTTTCTTGGAACGAGTTGAGTTTCAGGAGCTAGTGGGACCACATGGGGGTGAAATGGGTGGCAGTGTCCCCCCTTCCCACTACTTTATTCTCTGGAGTGGATTAACGGGGCACGGGTTCCAGGCTGCAGTGAGTTGAGTTTCAGGAGCTAGTGGGACCACATGGGGGTGAAATGGGTGGCAGTGTCCCCCTTCCCACTACTTTATTCTCTGGAGTGGATTAACGGGGCACGGGTTCCAGGCTGCAGTGAGTTGAGAGATGTTTTTGCTCAGGCAGAGGGGAGGATTTTGAGCTCAGAGGCTCCCATCCCAATCAGAGTAGGAGCAGGTGGTCAGAGCAATGCCCAAGTCCTTCAATTGCTAGCAGATGCTGTCCCCCTGGCCGGATGGTGGCACTAGGGTGAGACAGAGGGAGAAAGCAATAATGGAACTTCTGGAAAAGGATCTTTAGAGGGACAGCATAAACAGCCCTAGCATCATAGATGGGCATGGTGTGTGTAGGGGGAGTGCATATAGGATAGCTCTTTTAATAGAATGGGACTAACACAGGCAGTGTTGCAGTACCCCCCCCCCGCCATGTCTCCTAGCTCCTCTGCTCCCTGACCAGAATGACAGTGGTGACCTTCAGCAGTGCCCTGCTGCTCACCTGAGGGTGAGGCACAGAGTGGTGGATGATGAGGATGAGCATGCTGGGCCACTTAGTAGAGGAAAGTCTGCTCCTTGAGCAACTTGCCTCACCCCTGCCCCAGCAACCTGGGGAGAGGGACAGAGATGCCCCAACTGGGCCAGAGGGGAGGAGCAGGGCCTGAAAAGTCCATTCTAGGATCCAGCCAGAGGAACTCTGCTGGCTGAGAAAGAAGAGAGGAGCTGGAGATATTCATCTGGTCCTGCCCACAGAAAGCCCAGGCCCAGGAGACCCCACTTCCTCCCTGGCACTCAAGGTCCTCTTACTCTCCAGCTCTGTCGCCTCACATCTGTCACTGCAGCCAGGCTGTCTCCTAAGTGCTCTCTCCACCATGCTTCATGCTTTCCACTTCCAACCTTTGTCATGACGGCCCCACCCCACCACCAGCTGTTTTTGTTGCTCTGTCACTAAATCCTGCCACACTGGAAGGTGAAGATCGAGCCTCACTTTCCTCTAGGTCTCCTGCGGGACGTGAGCAGGGCTGGTGTAGAACTGGTGTGCCATGAAGCGGGTGAAGCCACTGCCTAAGCTTCCCTCTCCCCAGGGCCTGGCCCTGGAGCTCCCTCCCTGACACTCAACCTTCTCCTTCTCTCCCATCTTCAGAACATTCGCGCTCTGCCTTCATTCCCCTCCTGCTCCAGAAGGCTTTAATTCTGTCTGTCCACCGGTGTGCTGACTCCTCTCAGCCCAGCATGGAGCTGGTCACGCAGTGGTCCGGTGGAGGACGCCCTCGTGCATCCTGCCCCACCCCCACGGGCATACACAGATGGATCTGGAGAAAGGCAGAGGCCATGGGAGGGAGGGGCCCGTTAGGTAGCCTGCCCGGCTGACTTGGGGGCTAGCACGGCATACACACGCCTTTCCCGGCCACCATGTCCCTATCTCCCATCTCTGACGCTTCTATAACCCTGGAGCTCTAAGGGATTGGCCTGGAGGAGAGGCAGGGTAGGTGAGGAAGAGCGTATGGGCTCCCCAAGGGCCACCCCACTCCCCCAGGACTCGCCTCTCTTGAGTTCCCCCACCCATACCTGCTCTGCCTCCTCTCACTCAGTTCCCGCTGTCCCCTACCCTCAGCCTCCCCATTCCAGGCCAGCGGCTGGGCCCCGCCCCCACCTTCGATGGGGGAGTTGATGAGGATGACGCGGCCCATGGGCGATGAGGCTCGGATTCCGCGGGGGGGCCCATTCTGCAGCCGCCGCTGCTTCCTCAACAGGTATCGCGTTGCGGTGGAGCCCGAGTCGCTGCCCAGGGGGCCTCGGGAGGAGAGGGAGCTCAGAGAGCCGGGGCTTAGATCCCCTAGGCCCAGTGGGTCAAAGCCCATTGAGCGACCATGCGCCATGGCAGCTGGGCTGGGCGGAGGTCGCCCTACAGATCCGGGAGGAATCCGCTAGTCCTCGAGGCGAGCCCCGCGTGCTCCGAGCCTCGGGAGGAGAGGGAGCTCAGAGAGCCGGGGCTTAGATCCCCTAGGCCCAGTGGGTCAAAGCCCATTGAGCGACCATGCGCCATGGCAGCTGGGCTGGGCGGAGGTCGCCCTACAGATCCGGGAGGAATCCGCTAGTCCTCGAGGCGAGCCCCGCGTGCTCCGAGCTGCATGAGCCTTCTGTGCGGGGCTGGGGTCTCAGTGACGCGGAGCCCCTCACTTGCGCTGCCTCTCAGGGGTGTGTGCTCCAGGCCTGGGCAGGGAGAGCAGGGATTGGGGGAGGGGTGTGAATGCTGCACCTCCTGCCACCCTCCCACTGGTTTGAGCATCTTGCCCTCGCATGCCTTATACTCCCCACCTCTCCCACCCCAGGCTGGAGAACCGCCTGGTCCAGGGGCCATCGCGGACTTTTGGAGTCATTTATACAAGGCAGAGGAAACCTCTCTCTGACCCCTCACTCCTGCTCTCAGCTGAGTCATTACCCCCGTCCCCAGACCTCTGGAGAGGTTGAGAGAGTGGGGATGGGGTTCCTGCGGGCCTGGGGCTCCAAGCGGTGTGAAGCAATGAGGGATCAGGACAGTTCACCAACTCTCCAGTGTGTGCGGGTACGGGCCAGCCTCCGCGGTCTGCGCCTCGAGGGCAGGGCTTCAGGACCTGGGACAGCTGCGGCCGAAGCACCCGGAGGTTCCCCGGCCCCCAGGCTGCCGTTCCCGGTATAAAGAGGTTGCGTGAACCTCTTTTGGGTTTGCGGGGAGGACCTACTGGCGAGGGCCACACAACATCCCGCACAGAACCCGGGGCAAACTCCCCCAGAGCAGCTCTGGGAGCCAGAACGCAGCACCCCACCCACGGCCCGGCCCTCCCGGCCCCCCGCCTCTCGGGCTGGGCCCCGCTCACCGGCCTCGCCTGCCCTCGGGCGCCAGCGACTGCAGCAGCCGGGGCCCCCCCCCCCCCCCCCCGGCTGCGGGAAGAGGGCGGGCCCGCGCAGCCCCGGCCTCCCATTGGCTGGTGGGGCCGCCAGTCACTGCCTTCCGGCACCTCGCTGGGGCGCCCGGGACAGCCGCTAGTCACCTGGCCTGGGGCCGCTGGGTTCTACCTGTTCCAGTTCTGGCGCCCACCCCGCCTCTCCAGCTTAGGGCTTGGGTCTCAGCCTGCCCCCTCCCACTAGAACCGCGTCTTCTCCCGGCCAAGCCAGCAACGGGGGCTCTTGGAATTGCCACCCCCTCGAGGTCACCCCTGAAGCCTCAGTAGGGGAATGTCACCAGGGCTGGCCGTGAGCCTGCGATGAGCGGGAGCGCGGGCTGGCGCTGTGCGTGCGGCAGGCGGGCTATGTGTGGTGACTGGGTGAGCTGAGAGTGCGTGTGGCCGAGGGTGCCGTCCTCGCTTGCATCCTCCTTCTGTGTCGGTAGGTGTCTTACTGGCGACCCAGTTCTGGAAAGGTCGCAGGACGGGGCATCTGGTCCCAGGACACTAGGGAGAGGAAGAATCCTTCTGATGCACTCGGTGGGATGCAGACAGAGTTCTTTGAGCCTTCTGCCCCTCACATCCCAGGGACTGGGGCTAAGGTCTGTGGGGGCTGCGGGCACAAGCAGACGGGGACACAGTGGAGCTAAGGGTTTCCGAGAGGGAGCAAGGAGAGGGCTGGGGACATAGAAGGGGCACAGGCACGATAGAAACGGGGCTGTGAAGGGATGAGAATGCCGAGGTACTGCGAGAAGAGCTTGTGGATACTGGAGTAGGAGCCCAGGGGGACAAGCAGGCCGAGGCCATTGCCAAGGCAGCCATCAAGTAAACAAACCAGCGGTAACCCGAGTCCCTCATGCACACCATCAGACCGCCCCTCCACGGTGCCCACCTGTGCCCTGCGTACTGTGAGCTTTCTCCCTGGGCACCTAAACCCCTTACTGCAGGGACCGGGTGCCCCCCGAGGCCTGCCAGGGGACTGCAAGCAACGGGGACAGCGCCCGAGGCTCCTCCCCTCCTCTCTCTGTCTGGGGAGGGGTCCAGAACTGATGCCCGCGATACGATTGGCTCTGGAAGGCAGCGTAGGGCCTGGTACCGGTGGCCCAAGCCAGGGGCATCGCCCCAAAATGACACCCACCGCCCCCAGGCTCTGCCAATCTCCATACCCGCAGATCGGATCAGTCCCGGGAGCCCCCGCCCCTCCCTGCTGGTCAGCATAACACGTGACGTCCCATGTGATGGCTGGGGGTGCTGCGGCGACGAGCAGAGAGGAAGGCGGGTCTGAGAGCTGCAGGAGACGGGAGCCCAGAAAGCGTGAGTGCTCGCTGTGCTGTCCGGGGAGAGTCTGGGGAGTCCAGGGTTAAGGGCTGGGGGCAAGGGAAGGAGGTCTGCCTTGAAACGCGCTCTCTGTCCCGTCGGATTCAATATCTTCGGCTCTAAAGAGGTCCATGGGGCGCAGGGGGAGGTTGGCTGGAGGAGGAATGTCAGGGTGGGGCTGTGTGCAGTTACACATTCAAGTGTCCACAACTGATGGATATGGGTGGAGTGTGTGTCATGGTCTTCGTGGGCCGGTGCATACAGGGCGTGTCCACCCTGTTTGTATGTCTACTTAGGGCATGCATGATGGTGTCTTTGTGTGTGGGTATGTGAGTGTGTGTGAGAGAGCAGGGTGTGTCTGCCTGTGAGGGAGGAAGTGTGGTTGGAGCAGATTAGTCATTCTGTAGGATTTTGCCTAATACAGCCAGATGGCTGCTCTAGACTTTCCTCTCTGTGCTGAGTGGAGGGGGTATCCCCCGAATCCTGCTCTTTTCCAGAGGTGGGTGGCTCAGAGAGAGGAGGAGGGTGTCTGTGCCAGCCCTGCCCAGCCAAGGAACAGAAAGAGCCTTGGGTCATTCAGTGTGGGTTGGGGAAGATGTGTCTGGAGAAGGCCTTGTGCACACACGTGGCTACATCACAGTCCCTGTTTGAGATCTGGAGCAGATAAGCCCTGGGGTGGTCAATGACTCTCCTTTAATCAGGGGGTGGAGTGTGGGATGTCTTATGCTAGCTTTCCAAACAGCGTTGGGGGTGTGCATCTAGGTCTCAGGGCAGCTGGGGCCTAAAGCTGACAAGAGCATAATGTGTACATTCTACATTTTTGTGCATCCAGAGCCATAAGTAGCTGCATGGGAGTTAGTTGCTACTCATGCATCATCCACACACACGTAAATCCTCACTCATGAAAATCTGCATCAGGCTAGAGCACAAGGAAATCTGTTTTCCTGGTCCTAGTCTTTCCTTTCCACTACTCCAGTGGCTGCAGGTCCCTGGGCTAGGACATTACCTAGGAAACAAATCCTCCCCCAACCCTTGCTTACCTACCTGGAGTCATCTTGAGCTCCTGAAGGGACTGGTAATAGGCTCAGGGACCAGATCAGGACCACCAAAGTTTCCCCCAGGTAGAGCCCTTTGATCCCCTCCTTGGAGCCATCTGACCTTTCTCCTTGCCCTGCAGAAAATGGGTGAATTGCCCTTAAATATCAACATCCAAGAACCTCGCTGGGACCAAAGCACTTTCCGGGGCAGAGCTCGGCACTTCTTCACTGTTACCGATCCCCGAAATCTGCTGCTGTCTGGGGCACAGCTGGAAGCTTCCCGGAACATCGTGCAGAACTACAGGTGACCCTACCCCCATCTGTTCCCCAGGGTCTCATTCCCTGCCATAAATACAGTATGTTTTGTACTTGCTTTCTCAAGCTTCAGAGTGATCCTGTCCCACTCCTCAACACCCTCACTCTGGCCCCATCTGCTGGCATCACAGACAACTATGGCACGGACCTTTACCCACAGGATTTTAGGGTGTTTGGCTTGAGGATGTGGCATTGATATTTACCAGGGTGGGAGCTACTCTGTGCCTCACAGATCCTCTACAACCTAGCCCACTGCTGGACCACCCTCTGCAAGGACAAAGAGACTCAAAAGTAGAGTCCCAAGGAGGTAGGGGGCACCCCCCTTGTCTTCGGGAGGAAAAACTCTTGAAATGCCCCCAGCCATTTTTGACTCATTGGTAACCACCATCACCTATGGCCCAACATATTAGTCTGTTTCTCTTTCTTATAGTGGAAATACCTGAAACTGGGTAATTTGTAAAGAAATAGTATTTATTGCTTACAGTTTCAGAGGCTGGGAAGTCTCAAGTCCAGGGAACACATCTGGTGAGGGCCTTGTTCTTGGAGGTGGCTCTACAGAGATGTAGAGTATCACACGGAAAGTGGCTTGGCCAAGAGAGAGTAACTCCTCACTTCCTCTTCTTATAAAGCTATCATAACCACACACATGACCACTGCTAAACCATCAATAGATTAACCCATTCATAAGGGCATAGTCTCATAATCTAATCACCTCTTAAAGGCCTCACCTTTCTTTTTTTTTTTTCAAAGATGACCGGTAAGGGGATCTTAACCCTTGACTTGGTGTTGTCAACACCACACTCACCCAGTGAGCGAACCGGCCATCCCTATATGGGATCCGAACCCATGGCCTTGGTGTTATCAGCACTGCACTCTACCGAGTGAGCCACAGGCCGGCCCAAAGGCCTCACCTTTCAATTACCATAAAAGGATTTCTTACCCTCAACACTGTTACAGTGGTGATCAAGTTTCAATGAGCTTTGGGGGGATATTCAATCCATAGCATTCTGCTCCTGGTCCACCGGCCCAAAGGCCTCACCTTTCAATTACCATAAAAAGATTTCTTACCCTCAACACTGTTACAGCGGTGATCAAGTTTCAATGAGCTTTGGGGGGATATTCAATCCATAGCATTCTGCTCCTGGTCCCCCCAAACTCATGTTCTTTTCACATACAAATACATAACTTCATTCCTGAAGTTTTAACTTGTTTCCATTCAAAGTCCAAAGTCCTATCTATAAAATCAAAACAAGTTATCTATTACCCAGATACAATGGGGGAACCAGC